TCTCTCTACCATCTTAGCCAACACTTGGGCAAAAATGAAAGCTGATCCAGAACAGCCCTGTAGGAAACTCCTTCCAGCTAAACTGCCACAATGAAAGTAGGAACTCAATTTCCCCTGAATCTTAGGGCTTCTCTGCATGCAGGGTTGCACCAGTTTAATATGAAATTTTAAATTAGTTAAACAGATGCAAAAAGCTCTGCGGATGTGACTGTTTCAGGTTTAGACCAAGCTTATTTTGGATTACCCCAGTTAAATAAGAAATAGGTTTAAAAAGGACTTAAACTGAAACAAGAGTGCAAGTTTCTATGCAGACAAGGTCTAGCCCTCCTTAATGAGGCATGAACTCTTAACGTCCACATGGATTATATAAATACTATTAAGCAGTTTCTCTTCCCAATTTTTAAAAAACCTAAAATTAAATTCAAGATCTATCTAATGCACCATTAAGAACATGAATTCAAATGAACAAGGGGTCTTGCATACATAAAACCAATGCTACCATGATAAGGAAAATAAATCATCTGAATAGGCAGAATACTGCATAATCCAATGCCCCAATGTTTTGAGGTTGTAAACATTTCTGGAAGACCACTTGTTTCCACATTTCTCTTGCTGACTGGACATTTGAGAAGGGGGAGAAGCTATTTCCTGAAGTATGTAGGAAGAAGGCAGTAATGGGTATATATGCATATATGTATCCTGGATGTTCACAGCAGAAAAATTGTTAACAATGGAAACTTCATCGAAATTTCAACCAAACCAACCTTGGCCCCAGAAAGGTTCACTTTGTTTGTCCTTTTCTTAGTGACAGACTTCAGTACTGATAAACAGTTACTAAATAGAAAATCCTGATAGTCTATCAACAGGCACTTCTGATCCAATACCAAAGCCCAGGTAAGTCATCCACTGCTGCAGACTTCTCGCTGCTAGCAAAAAGCTGATCTAAGGAGATCATAGTCTGTTTAGATGAAAAGGTAGCACTTGTGCTCCATGCTTCTTGCACTCTATTCTGTGCAACACTTAAAAATTTCCTCAAAAGTGCCACATTTAATAAAACAATATTGCAGTCTTGTTAGGAATAATTTTACAGGAACTTCATATTGCCAGCAGCTTGATCAATGGCTTGTCAATTCCAAATCCCATCACTAACAAAATACTACTTTACAGTGCTCTGGTCTTAGAAGATGCTGTGTAGACAGTCCCGTCAGTTCTTTACTAATGGTGCTGCTTTAGCAACAGCCTCCAGGAAAGACCCTGTTAGTTGTCTGCTCCATTAAGAAAAGGGAAGACAAGCCAGATCTGCTCTCCTGGTTTCAAACAGTCAGGAATGGTTACTGGAGGCAGGACTGACTTGCAAATGGAGCTCAGCAGCAAGAAAAGCCTGCAGTTATCATCTGGTGTTGCTGTTATCGTTGATTAGGAAGATTTTGAAGACAAAGGATAACTAAGCTGAGATACACCTCAAAATAAAAATCAATCACACTGAAAAGAAAATGTGCATAAAACATTTACATTTCTTGCTTAAATTCAAAGTTACACAAACACTGAGAACATTCCCCTAAACCCTTTAAAATATCTAACCATTTTTACACTACTTTTACACTACTCTGATCTTAAAAAGATATAAACTCAGGAAGGGGAAAACCAAACATTTAAAAAAGTTTATTTCTAGCCCTGAAAGAACAAAGTTAATAAAGTAATCAAATACAGTAGTTAATATCGCAGAAACAATTAAATAACAGAATGAGATTAAATTAAACAAAAGAAAACATTAAAATCTGGATACAAGTAAAAAAAAAAATAAAGCTTGAACCTACATCCATTTCCATCCAGCAAAGTTAAGGAGAGAGAGAAAGCAGACCAGAGAGGTTTTTCCAATTCCAGCTATAAAGACCTTTAACAGTATCCTTGATTTTTCCACCCTTTTCTGACAGCAGAGTTCAATTACTCTGCACTGCTCTGAAGTACATCTCTTGCAGCTACTCAGGACAGAGGTACTTGTATACTGAATATTCAGATGAGAATGTGTGACCAAGCAGGTCTACTTGGTGGGAAGTTGGGTTTATTCCAAGTTCTGTGCTAAAAAAAATCCTGGGAGACAAACATTGCCTGTTCACTTGCTTTCAAAACAGTATGCTGCTGATCTCTACTCCTGACTCTAACTACTGTGTTGTGCCACCGTAGCATTTATTCATATGCATATTTGTGATTGTGCCTGTCATCTGAGGTGACTGCTAGAGATTTGGGAATTCTGGCATGTTCCAAAGTGATATTTTGCTTTCAGCATCCACTCAAACTCTGGCTATTCTCTCTTTACCTGCATTAATTATTCATCTGGGCTGGGCAGAACAAATGAGCTAGTCTCAGTTCTAACCTGGTCCCTCATGGGAAAAATGGACACTTGGAAGACATATGCAACACATGTTCAGTTAGAAGATTGATAGTTAACCTACTGACATGCAAACTGCACAGTGGTTACACAACGAAGCACGGAGCAGCAGCTTCCCTATGACTTTTCTTTGCCAGCTTACTGACTCTACTTAACTATTTTCCCTCACTACGCTGCAGAAATTAAATGTTCCCAATATTTCTGCACTTTCTCCTTTGACCTCTCTCCTTTGTCCTGATTACCTTCTGGCAACAGGAGCAAAAGAAACCTTATTGTAGAATCATATACATACAAGGGGTGCTCTTGTGCGCTTTTTAACTGTAGTTCACAGTACTCTAAGCCACATGAGAAGCACTGGGATGCATTTTGGTAACTCCTGGATGAGGTTTTTAAAAAAAAAAAGAATTAAAAGTTTAGAAATCACCCCTTAAAGAGCTACAGATTCGGATCTGGACAGATTTGCTATTGCAAGATCAGAAGGAAGTTTTTTTTAATCAAGAAGACTGAACTAATCAGTTAAAATTACTTACTGATTTTAAGTAGTCCTGCTAATTTCAGAACAAAATTATATTTATATGGTAGACGAGATTTTGCTACCAGTGGGGAAAAACGCCAACTTATACTCCTGCACCAGGAGTCTGGTTTTCAAAAAGTCCATTGCCAGCAATGGACAGGGAGCCACTGATGAGAAAAGATACAATATAACCCAGTACTCCTTGCTTCTCCCTATGGACAGGAAAATCTTTTACTTTGAGTCACATATATTGAAACCAGGCCACTGCCATTCTACTGTTTATGGTATCAATGGCTTTCAGTACATACCAAGTTTGTAAGACAGGAAGCACATCTAGAGTATTCAGACCATGACATGACACTTCCTTGGAATGCATCATTCTAGTTCTTTATGGCTAGTGGGCTGCGTATTCTTTTGATGTTATCCTTCTTGTTAAAGTAATTCAGCTTGGCACCTGTTACACTAGTGCAGGGTGGGCAAACTACGGCCCTCGAGCCGTTTTAAGCCAGGCCTTGAGTTCCCGCTGGGGAGTGGGGTCTGGGGCTTACCAGGGCACAGGGTATGGGGTCGCTCCATGTGGCTCCCAGAAGCAGCCGAATGGCCCTGCTCCATCGCTCCAGCCAGGGCGCAGAGTCAGGGGCCGCACCACATGGCCCCCTTCCGGCTCCTATGTGCTCCAATGGGAGCTGCAGGGGTGGTGCCTGTGGACAGGGCAGCATGCAGAGCCACCTGGCCGCACCTCCGCATAGGAGCCAGAGAAGGGACATGCCACTGCTTCCGGGAGCCGCTTGAGGTAAGCGCCGCTCAGAGTCTGCACCCGAGCCTCTCCCCACATCCCAACCCCATGCCCCAGCCCTGATCCCTCTCCCGCCCTCCAAACTCCTGGATCCCAGCCTGGAGCACCCTCCTGCATCCCAGACTCCTCATCCCCAGCCCCACCCAGAGACTGCATCCCCGCAGCCGGAGCCCTCACCTCCCTCTGCACTCCACTCCCCAAGCTCCCTCACGCAACCTGAACTACTCATTTCTGGCCCCACCCTAGAGCCCACATTCCCAACCAGAGCCCTCACCCCCTCCCACACTAACCCCAATTTTGTGAGCATTCATGGCTTGCCATACAATTTCTATTCCCAGATGTGGCCCTCAGCCCAAAAAGTTTGCCCACCCCTGTGCTAGTGATAACAAGAACTCAGACTGAAGTGTGGTGGTTCTATTTCCTACATGAATAAGGTATCTTGTTGGTGCAAAGCAATTTGCTAGCACAATTTGTTGAAGAATAAAGTTATGACAGAATGAAATCCCATGATATATAGGCTCAGGAAGTGAAAGCTAATTTTTTCAGGTGCTCTAAGCAGAGCTACATCTTGGTTACCAAAACCCAGAACAGCCATTTCTATCCGCATATAAATATTGAAATTATTCCTTTAACAGAAGAAAAGGGCCTTCCCACAGTAAAAAGAACGTGTAAAACTCTGGTTTATGCAATTTGTCAGACACCAAATGGAATCATCTCACCCCAGGACCTGGACTCTCTCTGCTTGACATGCACTGCCAGTTGGGAATGCAACATAACTGCTTAGCACCAAATTAGTGGGTATTCTTTCATGCACATTATTTGGCACATCACAGTTACAAACAGCCCCTTATGAAAATAATCTATAGGTATAAATGCAGCAATTTCAGTGGCTGAAATCAGGGACCAGGGATACTTCTATGATTTCTACTGTTACCACTTCAGTTGCCACCATCTCAAGAACTCAAGTTACTCACTAGCTCTTATAGGAAGGCACTTTTTTCTTGCACTAAACGTTGTCTTGTGCCATCCTAGCTGGTAAAATGTCTTTAGTGAGAAGGGGCCATCATGACACGATGACTCTCTCCAGTCATGCATCAGCCACTCAAGTAAGCCCCTTTCATGTCTGATGAAGCTACTTTCGCGCCTCAGACTTTGTCGCCATAGAACAGCACTTTGGTGTTCCCAGGTGTTCATAAGCTCCTGTTTGAATTATAAAAAAAACAGTCTTGGATCTTCATTTTCCTCAGATTTGATGAATTATTTGTTCTTTTGATTTCATTAGTAGAAATGGAGCACATGTAAAAATGGAAAAAAATAGCTCTAATACTTAAATCTTGACAACTCCTAGATTGATGCATTATTTGCTTTTGGGAATAAAATTACAACATATACAAAAATTCATTTGATACAAAGGAGGGAAATGTAAAAAAAGTCAAAGGCACCAGCATAAATTCCAAAGCCCAAGTAAGAGCATAGATACAACACTTGGTTTTAAGACCACCCACTACACCACACAAGACATCCCTTTTGCCTTGGCCAACAAGTCTAGGGAAGTTGTGGGGGGATGGAAACAGAAAGGAAAATAATGGGTGGGTGGGGAGGTGTTTCTTTCCTCAAACATCCGCTCCCTTCTCCTTATATGTGTAGGCTGACCTCTAAAAACCTGACCCAAAACAATTTACTACACTGAGATCTCTCTCTCTTGGATTAGAAGTCCCTGGAGCAGTTACAAATCAGAAAGACAGCTGAACTCTTCTCTTCCACCTCTCCCTATACTCTACTTACAAGCAGATTTCATTTAAAGTTAGTTTCTTGAGTATCCAAGTCGTTAATTCTACAGTACAGTCACAACTAAATTGTATGGTATGGGAGGGATGGGTAAATTGTACCTTCACATTTCTGACACACTTACTGTTAACCTAGTCATATGGGAGATGGCCAAAGCAACTTGAAAGACGACAGGAAAAGGGGAGTAGAAGGAAAGATCAGCAGATAAAATTAATGCCTCTCTCCAAAAGCTTGAATCTGTCATTCAAGTATTGAAAGTCCCCAAGAGGGCACAATGAATGGGAACTGTTACAGCGAAGTCATCAAAAAACTTAAAACCCCAGGCATGGGAAGCAGGATTCCTGGGCTGTCTGCAAAAGAGGTGAAAGACCAGTGATTCAGTCCACAATTCCTTTTGGACCCTAAAAAGGGTTTAATTAAAGTCACCATATTTCATTTCGTGTGTCTTCTGGGTGAGCGTTTTTCCCTTTTGCAGACTTTTTTCAACCTCCCTAACAAGAGTAACAATTTTCATATATTATAAAGATTTTTAAAAAAAGATGAAGGCCATGGCGACAATGTTAGCGGTTACTCTTCATTGCTTCTTTGGCTGCCAGGATCAATGGCGTCAAGCTAGACAGAGGTTTGGCCAATTTCAGGAAAGGATGCTGCCAAGAATAGAGAAACACAGTAAGTTAGTAAGAGTCAAATTTCAAAAATAAACTATTATACACCTCTACCCTGATATAACGCGACCCAATATAACACGAATTCGGATATAACGCGGTAAAGCAGCGGGGAGCCCCAGGCCCTTTAAAGCACTGCCTGAGCCCCGCTGCTTTACTGCGTTATATCCGAATTCGTTTGGAGCCCCGGGCTCATTAAATCCCCACCCGAGCCCCACTGCCGGTGCTCCGGCAGTGATTTAAAGGGCCCTGGCCCCCCCGCAGTGGCTGGAGCACCAGGCCCTTTAAATCTCTGGCAGCCGAGCTCAGGCGGTGATTTAAAGGGCCAGAGGCTCCAGCCGCTGCGGGGACCCCCGGACCCTTTAAATCCCAGCCCGAGCCCCGCTGCCGGAGCTCCGGCAGTGATTTAAAGGGCCCGGGGCTCCCTCCAGCGGCTGGAGCCCTGGGCCCTTTAAATCACCACCGTGGAAGCTGGTACACTCTGGCATGGTGTACTGGCTCTTGTTGGTTCGCCGTATCGGACCAGATAGAACACCGTCTCACCTAAAAGGCGGTGAGATTTTTTTGGCTCCTGAGGACCGCGTTATATCGGGGTAGAGGTGTATTTACATAACACTTTCTATCCCAAGTTAAGAAAGCACTTCACAATATGCAGCACCTCAAGGAGATATGCCCAATGACTGATCCATAGTAGCACAGATTTGTTGACAGCTGTTCCTCCACATAGCAATATCCAATAACCCTGGCTAGCCCCTGCCCTCCTCTCTCCAACAACCTTCCCCATGCAGAGATATTCCTTTTTTTGATATTTTCCCTCTATCCTGTTCTGTGTTCACTGTGCTGGCTACAGCAGCCTCTCTGTTTAACTAAGCTATGGTGTCACTGAAGAATCACCACTGGCAGAAAGCAGCCAGTAGTGATTGCAGTAGAAGAATCATCTACATTTGTGTTTCAAATTTTGATTCCTGTTTCCTTCCCACTATGCTCCATTAAACGATCCTTCAATAGGAAAAGGAAGACAAAGACAAGCCGATGTCAGCACTAGCTGACTACTGTTTTAGTGACCGCCAAATTTCAAGCTTTTGGGGAGACTCCATCATACATATACTTACCTGTAACAGTTCTTTGGCTGATCCCCTTTTCTCTACATCCATCTCCAAACAACGATTTAGAAAATCCCGGAATATTGGGGACAGTTTCTCTGGATTCTGCAGCTCTGGTGTGCCATTCGTTGCTATTAAATACAAAGCCTGCAAACCGAGAAAGGTCGTTATACCCAAGTCATCTGTTAAAATTCTAAAAACGTGATTTGCAATGTATTAGTATTTCAAGTTAGAAGAAGCATTTATTGAAGTACATCTAAAAAGGAAAACACTAAAAAGCAGACACTGAATAGCATATGACAGGACAGTTACCTGTTCCGTAACTGGCGTTCTTCCAGATGTGTTGCTCCTGTCTATTCCACAGGCGTGCGTGCTCGCCACGTGCACTGGTGCCGGAAGTTTTTCCCTTAGTAGCATCTGTAGTGGGGGAGCACCGCTACGACCCCTGGAGTGGTGCCGACATATCGCACTATAAAGCGGGCTGTGTGCTCCCCTCACCCTCAGTTCCTTCTTGCCAGAAACTCCGACAGAGGGGAAGGAGGGTGGGATGTGAAATAGACAGGAGCAACACATCTTGAAGAACGCCAGTTACGGAACAGGTAACTGTCCTTTCTTCTTCGAGTGATTGCTCCTGTGTATTCCACAGTAGGTGACTCCAAGCTATACCTGACGGAGGTGGGTAGGAGTTCTAATGATAAAGGTTACGGGTTACCTGGGTGGAGCACCGCCCTACCAAACCCGGCGTCATCCCTTGCTTGGGAGATGATCGCATAGTGCAATGCGGAAGTATGGACAGAGGACCACGTAGCAGCCCTACATGTGTCCTGAACAGGGACATGAGCCACATAGGCTGCAGACGAGGCCTGGGCTCTCGTCGAATGCGCCTTAACAACAGGAGGCGGGGGAACCCCAGCCAGGTCATAACACTTGCGTATGCACGAGGTGATCCAGCGGGAGATCCGCTGGGTGGAAACCGGTTGCCCTCTCATGCGCTCGGCCGTAGCAATGAAAAGCTGAGGGGATGCCCGAAATGGCCTTGTTCGATTTAAGTAAAAGGCCAGTGCCCTACGCACATCTAGCATGTGTAGGCGTTGTTCCTCATTGGAGGAATGGGGCTTAGGACACAGGACTGGCAGGAAAATGTCCTGGTCCATATGAAACGCCGAGACCACCTTCGGCAGGAAGGCCGGGTGCGGGCGAAGCTGGACCTTCCCCTTATGGAAGACAGCGTACATGGGTTCCGAGGTGAGCACCCTAAGCTCCGAAACCCTGCGGGCTGAGGTGATAGCCACCAAAAACGTCACTTTCTCAGATAAGTGGGACCAAGAACAAGTGGCCAAGGGCTCAAAGGGAGGTCCCGTGAGGCGTGACAGTACCAGGTTCAGGTCCCAAGGGGGAACCAGGGGTCTAGCATAAGGGAACGCTCTGTCCAAACCCTTCAAAAACCTGGAAGTCATGTGGTGGGAGAACACTGACTGTCCCGCCACCAGAGGGTGGAAGGCAGAAATGGCCGCTAGGTGCACCCTGATCAAGGAGGGAGCTAGCCCTTGGGTTCTAAGGGACAGGAGGTAGTCCAGGACCAGCTGGAGCGGAGCGGACGCGGGGGAGGAGCCTCTCTCCCTTGCTCAGGAGGAGAACCGATACCACTTGGCCAGGTAGGTCCTCTGTGTGGATGGCTTCCTGCTTTCAAGCAGGACATGTCTAACAGCCTCGGTACACCTCCCCTCCTCCGCATCTAGCCACGGAGCAGCCACGCTGTGAGGTGGAGCGGGCCCAGGTTGGGATGGAGGAGACGACCTCCCTCCTGGGAGAGCAGGTCCGGGTGGAGTGGCAGCCTGCGAGGGGGGGCTGCTAAGAGTTGTAGTAGGGTACCGTACCAATGTTGACGGGCCCAATCCGGGGCTATCAGTATAATTCTCACCCTGTCTTAAAATCATATCTGCTCAAGAGGGCCTGGTGGTTGGCCACTCTGAGCTGGAAGCTCACCGACGAATAAACTTTTCTTCCAAAGGAATCCAGCCTGTGAGTGTCTTTGTCCTTAAGGGTAGGAGCGGGTTGGCCATGCCTCTCACGGTGGTTCACCGATTCCACCACCAGAGATTTCGGTGTTGGGTGGGAATATAAGTACTCGTGCCCCTTTGTGGGCACAAAGTGCTTCCGTTCGGCATCTCTCTGTCCGATCTCCAAAAAGGCTGGAGTTTGCCAGAGGCCAGTAGTAATGTTGGCCAACCCCGATGGAGCGGGAGGGCCACACGTCCCAGCGTCGAGGAGGTCAGGACATTAAACAATGTGTCCGACGACTCCTCCATCTCCTCAGCCTGGAGCTGGAGGTTTGATGCCACCCTCCTGAGTTGCTCCTGGTGGGCCTTGAAATCCTCCTGAGAGACCGGAGGTGGTGGCGCCACAGAGTTGTCCGGCGCCGAGGTCGGTGCCGCAGTGTCGTCTGCACCCGGCTGTACTGCAAGCTCGACGTCCTGACCCAGGGCCCGAGTCGGTGCCGGAGGGTCGGTGCCCACTGCTTCATCGCGGTGCCGAGGCGGTGACGTCGTCTGGGCCTGGGACGCTCCCACCACGGAGCGGGGTCCCGACGGTGCTGGTGCCTGGGGCCACGGTGCCCACTGGCACCACTGTCCCTGCCAGGGAACGGCCTGGCCTTGGGACGCAAGGTGGCCCAGGAGGGCCGTCTGGTCTTGTGGCACCGAACGGCTCGACGAGGGGCGGCTGCATGCCGAAGCCCGGGACGAGCGGACGGTGCCGTGCCAACGGCTGGAGTGGTCCCGTACATGACGGCTCCGGCCCCTAGAGGCGGACAGGTAGGACTCTGGGGTGCTGTCTCCGTATTGCCTCCGGTGCCCAAGACTACAATGCCTCGGTGCCTGGGATTCCCATGACGAGCTCCGGGCGTAGTGCCTTCCACGGCGGGTGCCAGAGCGGGAACGGCGGTGCCGCTGCCACCAAGACCTGTCCCTGCGGTCAAGGCTCGAAGAGGAGCGGCGCCGTCTCTTAGTGCCTCCCCTACAGTCTCCCGGAGTGGAGGTGGAAAGCTCGCTCACAGACGATCCTGCTCGCAGCGTGGAGGTGCGCTGGGGTCCGCGGCTCAGCCCTTCAACTCGGTATGGTATCTCGACCTCGGAGACGTCCGGAGAGGGTTGATGGGCACTGAGTGAAGGCTTCCCACAGGATCGGGGGCCCGGTACCGGAAGCGTCATGGTGTCGCACGTGGCCTGAGCTGCCTCCGGCGTCAAAGGCATTCTCACCTCTGGCGAGGCGCGCGTGGACGGCACCGGACTACTCCACTCTACCCGAGTCGGAGGTCTCGGTCCTGATGGGGATCGTAGGCTGCCCAATGCGAGTCTAGCCTCACCCCGATCTTTCTCCCGGCGCCGCTGAGTCTTCCCTTGCTTCTTAGAAGGGGAGCGGTGCTGGCTCGTCGACAGTGCGTCACTGTGCACCACCGACGCGGTACCAGGCGCGGAATCAGGATGGTGTGCCAGGGGCGCTTTGCTGCGCGCCGAGGACAAGGTGCCCAGCGCGGGGTCGGCTTGACGCGCCGGTGCCACGGTCAACGCCGACTCCATTAGGAGAGCTCAGAGTCAGATCTCACGCTCCCTCTTCGTTCGGGGCTTGGAGGAGCAGCAAATTTTACACTTCTCGCTAATGTGAGCCTCGCCCAGACAGCGAAGACACTGAGTATGTGGATCGCTTCTGGGCATAGGATTGCGACAAGAGTCACACAACTTGAAGCCTGGGCCACGGGGCATGCCCTGAGCCCAGCACGAACAGAGAAAAGTTCAACAAGTAAGAGAAGCTGGATACCACTAAGGCTAGAATTGCTGCAGCAAAGCTGGAGCACAAGTTCCGACTACCTTCACTGGCAGCAAGAAGGAACTGAGGGTGGGGGGAGAGGGGGGAGAGCACGCAGCCCCCTTTATAGCGCGATATGTCGGCGCCACTCCAGGGGTCGCGGCGGTTCTCCCCTACTATGGATGCTGCTAAGGGAAAAACTTCTGGCACTGGTGCACATGGCAAGCACGCACACCTATTGTGGAATACACAGGAGCAATCACTCGAAAAAGAAAATTAAGTTTCCTTGCTGAATCTTCAACTTGGATGCCTGCCATAATGGATACCTGATGCAGGTACTGAAATGTCATTTTTCTTTCCTGTTGTGATCATTTACTTTCTGGTTGTTTTACACGGTTAGTATAATGTAGACTTTATCACATATACTCTCAAAATTCTCTCCCTTAAGAAGATAAAACATGTATACGCATGATCGACCTATGCAGGGTACCTCATTTGAGTATGTATAGTATGCCTTTGTATACTTTGCAACCACTATTCACCACTAATCAAGCTCCTACAAATGAATACATGGGCAGGTTTCATTCTACAAAACAATGTCAATGAGCGACTATGGAATAAGAGCAGCCCAAAGACAGACTCCCACCACAAGGATGCAGAGATAAAGGTGATTGCTCTACGTGACAAACTGTGGACAGACCAACACTATACACACCTGATTTGGTTAAATATTGGGGCACAACTTCTGAACTCATTTCTCCACTAAGGGCTGGGAATGTTAGAGGCAATGCAATAGGCCTGGTCTACACTTCAATTAGGTCGGCATAGCTCATTCTCTGGGCACTGTAGTTATGCTGACCTAACTCCCAGTGCAGACACAACTAGGTCGACAGATGAATGCTTCTGTCAACCTAGCAGCTGTTGCTCAGGGGAGGTGGAGTTCCTACAGCGATGGCAAAACCGTTTCCATGGCATGGTGCCACAGCAGCCTAGCTGTTCCCCTGTAGCACCCATAGTGTAGGCATGGCCTGAGTCTTGAGGGGTAGAAGGAATGCAACCTGCTTTTCCTCACATTGGTAGATGCTTGTAAGAGTGGCATTGCATAGCTTTAGCAACTGTCACTTGCTTTTGTTAGTAACAAGATGACTATAGATACTTAAGAATTTAGGGTGATGGACACTATAATAAACATATCCTTATATATGGAGAGAGAGTATAAGTCTATTTGTTGAAGCATGCTTTGTACTTTGTTCTTTGTAATGTAATTGGATTTACTTTTCTGAGCCTACAGAAGTTTATTGCTGGCAAAAGACTGTCAGTACTCAGAGATGAATTCTACTATTTAACTAAAAACAGGTACTATCAATATGCCTCAACCATGTTCTGGAGAGACCATCTCTCAGAGTGAAAGGGTAATATCCTCCATGTCTATTAGATCATCATCCTTTATACTGGGAACTACCTGCACTAATTACCCTTGATTTTTTCCATGTAGATTCCTGTCCACTAGGAACTGCCTTGACTGTACTAAACAGCCATCAGCTGATAACCATTTAAACACTTCTAACCTGGTTTGGATTCAAACCCGTAATCTACAAGTTAAAGGTCCCAAATCTCTTCACCACATTTCTGAGCCACTGTTTTATATGCATGATTGATGAAGCACTCCTAAAGGATGAAATATCTTACCCTCAGAGGGTTTTCATTGAGGTATGGAGGCTCTCCTTCCACCATTTCAATAGCCATGATACCCAGAGACCAGATATCCACTTTAGGGCCATAGGCTTTCCGGGTGACCACCTCAGGAGCCATCCAATAGGGAGTCCCAACCATGGTGCTGCGCTTGCTCTGCTCTGGGGTGATCTGAGCACAGAAACCAAAGTCGGCTACATGATAATAAAGGAATTAGTTAGTGATAGTTAATTCAGTGCATCCTAGTCTGTTGTGAATCCCATCTCAAAACCCCAATTATCTAACAAATATTTCTATTACTATAGAAACATCTTTTGCATCCGTACATTTGCAATCTCAAAGTTTTCTTCTACTTTTCATGTCACAGCAGAAAGTCTAACCAGTAAGTTCATACAAACACTGAAGAATATAGCCTACTTAAAATAAACTCCTACTCAAAGAATTACGTTCTTTTTTATAAAGGTAATTTGTGGTCTCCTAAAAAAGAGTGATGTTTTGTCTAATCCATCTTCAAGCAACCAAGAATTCCAACAAAAAAGGACCAAGAACATGGGGGAAAATGTTTTTGTGCACTGGTGTAGCCTTTATGCTATGTTGTGTAATGTAATGGTCCTGAACCCGGAAGGTGATACCATCAGACTGGGCTCCAGTCCCAGTACAAAAATAGGGTTACCATACATCCAGGTTTTCCTGGACAGAGCCTCTTTTTGAGCCTCCTTTTTCTGTCCAGGCAGGGTTTTCAAGTAACAACCATGTCCAGGTTTTTGAAGAGCAGACAAGCTGCAGCTCAGGAAGAGCCCCCCCGGTCCACTTCCCAATTGGTCCTTCTGCTGAATCCTCAGCTGATTGGTCCATTCCCCTACAAGTCACAGCTGCCAGATCCCACCCAACCAGGTCCCATCTATCCTCCCTTGTGAAGGGGTACCACAGGCAAGCACTGACTGATGGCTGTCGCTGCATCTTGGGCTTGTGCCAGCCGCCCTGCCACCATGACAGGGAATGACAGTTCCTCCACCTCCAGTAGGCATCTCCCCAATCACCTTCCACCAGTGTCTCTTGAAAATCTGGCCCTTTATTTTTACTGGAATGAATGGAATGCAACAATGCATTTTCACTGCGTATTCCATCCTGCTACTTTGTCCAACCCGCAGATCTCCCACTTCTTTTCAGGCATGGAGAGCACCAACGAGGACACAATCTCAGCAAAAACTGGGATTTATCCTAAGATTTACATTAGTTTGAAAGAAAGGATTTCAAACTTTAAAAATGCTTTTCCCTACATTTCAAATGCTAGTACCAGATAGTGCTGACAGATGGGTTTCATGCCTGAAAACTGTCCAAGGGCAGTTTAGCAAGCTACTATCCACCTCCTTCCCAGTCTCCAAAGCAGTAGCAGCCAGTAGCTCTCATCTTGCTACTCTTTCATAAAGGCTTTCCCTTCTAGGTCTATAGCATCATTCACTTACATTCCCTCAAAGGGTCACAGTCAACCTGAAATCTAGGCGACTTCAAAAATGTGACAGAAGCAGCAGCTCTCTTACAGGCAGCCTATTAAAATACCCAGGTGCCCCAGAAAAGCCTTGTAGCCTCCACAGCACCAGCAGGGAGAAGGCAGGTAAGAGCCTCTGCAGACTATGCAAGGAAAGGTGTTTCAAGGAGACCAGGCACTGGCAGCCCACACACGCTTCATCCACCTGGGGATCCTCACTACATTCACACTGGCCTCCCACTGTCAGTAACTCTAGGGGAAAAAAAGATACCTTCACCCACAGTACCATCCTGAGAGCCAAGATGCCCTCAAGAACTGCTTAGGCCCCTTCTCCTAGCATGGGAGTGCACATCAGCCACCTCCCATGGACCAGGTCAACCCACCAGCATCTTCACTACAGATGCTAACATAAGAACATAAGAAAATAAGAACGGCCATACTGGGTCAGACCAAGGGTCCATCCAGCCCAGCATCTTGTCTGCCGACAGTGGCCAATGCCACGTGCCCCAGAGGGAGTGAACCCAACAGGCAATGATCAAGTGATCTCTCTCCTGCCATCCATCTCCACCCTCTGACAAACAGAGGTTAGGGACACCATTCCTTATCCATCCTGGCTAATAGCCATTAATGGACTTAACCTCCATGAATTTATCTAGTTCTCTTTTAAACTGTTATAGTCCTAGCCTTCACAACCTCCTCAGGCAAGGAGTTTCACAGGTTGACTGTCCGCTGTGTGAAGAAGAACTTCCTTTTATTTGTTTTAAACCTGCTTCCCATTAATTTCCTTTGGTGGCCCCTAGTTCTTATATTATGGGAACAAATAAATAACTTTTCCTTATTCACTTTCTCCATACCACTCATGATTTTATATATCTCTATCATATCCCCCCTTAGTCTCCTCTTTTCCAAGATGGAAAGTCCTAGCCTTTTTAATCTCTCCTCATATGGGACCTGTTCCAAACGACTAATCATTTTAGTTGCCCTTCTCTGAACCTTTTCTAGTGCCAGTATATCTTTTTTGAGATGAGACCACATCTGTACGCAGTATTCAAGATGTGGGCTTACCATGGATTTATACAAGGGCAATAAGATATTCTCTGTCTTATTCTCTATCCCTTTTTTAATGATTCATAACATTAAATGCTTTTTTGCCTGTTTGCTTTTTTGACTGCTGCTGCACACTGCGTGGATGTCTTCAGAGAACTATCCATGATGACTCCAAGATCTCTTTCCTGATTAGTTGTAGCTAAATTATTAGCTACAACTATACAATACATACATCATATTGTATGTACAGTTGGGGTTATTTTTTCCAATGTGCATTACTTTACATTTATCCATATTAGATTTCATTTGCCATTTTGTTGCCCAATCACTTAGTTTTGTGAGATCTTTTTGAAGTTCTTCATGGTCTGCTTTGGTCTTAACTATCTTGAGCAGTTTAGTATCATCTGCAAATTTTGCCACTTCACTGTTTACCCCTTTCTCCAGATCATTTATGAATAAGTTGAATAGGAGTGGTCCTAGGATTGACCCTTGGGGAACACCACTAGTTACCCCTCTCCATTCTGAAAGTTTACCATTTATTCTTACCCTTTGTTCCCAGTCTTTTAGCCAGTTCTCAATCCATGAAAGGACCTTCCCTTTTATCCCATAACAGCTTAATTTACGTAAGAACCTTTGGTGAGGGACCTTGTCAAAGGCTTTCTGGAAATCTAAGTACACTATGTCCACTGGATCCCCCTTGTCCACATGTTTGTTGACCCCTTCAAAGAACTCTAATAGATTTGTAAGACATGATTTCCCTTTACAGAAACCATGTTGACTTTTGCCCAACAATTTATCTTCTTCTGTGTGTCTGACAATTTTATTCTTGACTACTGTTTCAACTAATTTGCCCGGTACTGACGTTAGACTTATCAGTCTGTAATTGCTGGGATCACCTCTAGAGCCCTTTTAAAATATTGGCTTACATTAGCTATCTTCCAGTCATTGGGTACAGAAGCTGATTTAAAGGATGGGTTACAATCCATAGTTAATAGTTCCGTAATTTCACATTTGAGTTCTTTCAGAACTCCTGGGTGAATGCCATCTGGCCCCGGTGACTTGTTAGTGTTAAATTGATCAATTAATTTCAAAATCTCCTCTAATGACACTTCAATCTGTGACAATTCCTCATATTTGTCACCTACAAAGGACAGCTCAAGTTTGGGAATCTCCCTAACATTCTCAGCCGTGAAGACTGAAGCAAAGAATTCATTTAGTTTCTCCGCAATGACTTTATCGTCTTTAAGTGCTCCTCTTGTATCTCAATTGTCCAGGGGCCCCACTAGTTGTTCAGCAGGCTTCCTGCTTCTGATGTACTTAAACATTTTGTTATTACCTTTTGAGTTTTTGGCTAGCTGTTCTTCAAACTCCTTTTTGGCTTTTCTTATTCCATTTTTACACTTAATTTGGCAGTGTTTATGCTTCTTTCTATTTACCTTACTAGGATTTGACTTCCACTTTTTAAAAGATGCCTTTTCATCTCTCACTGCTTCTTTTACATGGTTAAGCTATGGTGGCTCTTTTTTAGTTCTTTTACTGCGTTTTGTGAGGTGGGTAATAGCCCATGCCTCCTTCACCAAATAAGAGGATTATAGATTCCATTAACCTCAGATTCTAAGCCACCTGCTTCAGCTAGCAAGTTTCTATAGTTCCTTTCCCCTGCCTCCCCATGCCATCTCTGCTGATCCCCCTTCTTCTTTCCTCTTCCAGCAACCACCTCTTCCTCATACCTATTCCTATCACCTACCTCACCGCGTCCCTGTCCTTCCTTAAATCGTTCCTTTTTACACATCCTCTGCTAGAATCCTCTCTCCTCCTTTCATTCAATCTCTCCCACTCACACCTTCCACTGCTTCCCTTCACTTGTCATCTCATTTGGAAGATAGCCTGCAAATACTCCGTTTGTACACAAAGCAAAAATTCCACAGCCCTATAAAACTGACAGATCCCTCTATATACCCTGAAGACGTGCACTTAATTTACCTGAGTAACCCCATTATCTTTCACTGTTCACCTTTCCCCACTACTGTTTACAAACTCTATGTACAGTAACTCCTTGCTTAACATCGTAGTTATGTTCTTGAAAAATGCTACTTTAAGCAAAATGATGTTAAGCAAATCCAATTTCCCCATAAGAATTAATGTAAATGGGGGGTGGGTGTAGGTTCCAGGGGAAAAAATTTCACCAGACAAAAGACTGTATGTGTGTGTACACAGCAATGATGATTGTGAAGCTTGGTTGAGGTGGTGAAGTCAGAGGGTGGAAGAGGGTGGAATATTTCCCAGGGAATGCCTTACTGCTAAATGATGAACTAGCACTCAGCTGAGCCCTCATGGGGTAACTCTACAAGTTTCAGATTGGTAGCCATGTTAGTCTGTATCAGCAAAAAGGAGGAGTACTTGTGGCACTTTAGAGACTAACATTTATTTGGGCAGAAGCTTTCGTGGGCTAAAACCTGCTTCATCGGATGCATGCAGCGGAAAATACAGTAGGAAGATGTATATACTTTTTTTCCATGGTGTGTGTGTGTGCACGCACGTGCCCCTAATGTATTTTCCACTGCATGCATCCGATGAAGTGCGTTTTAGCCCATGAAAGCTTATGCCCAAATACATGTGTTAGTCTCTAAGGTGCCACAAGTACTCCTCGTTCTTTTTACACTTTACAAGGCAGCACGAATGGAGGGAGGGGAGACAGCATGGCAGAGAGAGACAGAGACACACTAGTGCCAGCTTCCCTCACTGGCAATCTTTGTATCTTTATCTGACTTTACACTGCAGGTTAACTCACATTTACAAATGCATTCATGTGGTAACAAGTTACTTAAACATCTTCTTGTTTGATACACTCAAAGTCAGTAACTTTCAGATGCTCAGAATTACAAACCCAACTATAGTGGGCAAAATTCTTTTTGCAAAGCAGAATGAATTCTATTGCTAATTTTTAGTAAAAATTCATCTCAAATATCTGAGACAACTATGCACTTACAAACATACTATTCATTGCAAAATGTTTAAAAAGCAGCAGCAGGTTGAAACAATTGTCTGGCACTCACTGAGTTTAACTGATCCATCCATTCCTAAAAGCACGTTGTCACTCTTAATATCTCTGTGGATTACCTGGTTGGCATGTAGGAACTCTAGTGCTTGCAAACACTGTATGGGGAGGAGGAAAAGGAAAACATTTATCAAAAGGAAATACAGTTTGTGTATTGTGAATCAAAAAGCAAAGTTTGTGCGCATATAATGCAATGCGTAAAAAGGTAGCAGGTATTACTTTAAATATCCAGCAGAGGAAGCTCTTATGATGAGAAACCAGACTACTGCCACCCAAAATTCACAGAGGTTAAAACCTGCTTCTTTAACCTCAGAGGATATGCTATTTCCTTGCCATCACAAAATTGCAAAATGAACTAAAAGTGCTCACCAGCCAGGCATCATCCAAGATTCCCCAAAGTTCCAAAGCACTTTCACTTTGCTACATGTTACTTTTCACAGCTTTTCAGTTGTTGGGGAATCCTGACTGACTACTGAGATCAGTTTCCTTTGGTAGAGTTTCACTATAAGGAGAATGCTTCACTCTTAAATATAATGTAGTGCTTGCTATAATGAAGGGTGCATCTGAAGAAGTGAGGTTCTTACCCACGAAAACTTATGCTCCCAATACTTCTGTTAGTCTTAAAGGTGTCACAGGACCCTCTGTTGCCTCTTAATACTTAATACTTCTTAATACTTCACCTAGCAGCTGGCCCTCAATAGACCCTCCACTGTCCCAGATTATGATGTTTTGGGTTTTTTCTTTGTTTGCTTTATTTTAGTTTAAATTGATTTAAATCCTTAAAGACTGTCAAGGAGCCTGAATTGATATAAAACCTTAGATTAGTTTAATCTGATGATGGTAAGAGAGTGCTTTAGAATTAATTTAGGTTTAAATTACTGGTCTGATTTTAATGCCATCATTAGAGATTTCAGCTGTTAAAACAAAAACCAAGGCTAGGAATTCAGCCTCAGAAGTTTGCTTTGAAAGTGTTTTATGTACTGCAACTGGAAAAGAAAGCTGTTTTATTTTGAAATAGCCTTCCTGAAAATTCTCAGATGAAATCGGGAAAGTGCGCTTTGGGGCATGGACTATTTCTTCCTAAATATTTGTCCAGCTCTGGTTGTGAACAGACCCTCTAGGAGCTGCAGCAATATAAACAATAAATATAAAGAAACTGGAGAGGCCAAAAAATTGAAGACAAATTAACTGGGCAAAAAGATTCCTAGAAATTAAAATGCAAATTAGTTAAAAAAAAAAAAAAAAGAATGGCAGACTGGAAGTATCCAAGCAGGAGTATACTTATTTTTAAGACTTTATAGGCTAAAAAAACATTCTTGTTCACATCTGATCTTACTGTAACTAGTTACTTTTATTTTACTTTTATAATTACCTATCCACACATGTTGAGGTATGAGGGTGCTTCCCAGCCCATCCCTTGCAGTGCATCATCTAAGCAGATGCCCCACTGATGCATGCTAAGGGGCTTTTAAAAGCTTCCTGTGCAGGGTAGATAATACAATTACCCCGACAATAAATTGAGTTTGTGCTGGTCTCTTGCATTTTGACTCAGGGAAATAACTGATCAGCAGCAGCTACAATTCTTTGTTAGTTTTAAATTATTCTTCTGAAAATAGCTGAAGAAACAGAGAAAGAGGGCCATTCCATAATTTAATGCCTGAAAAGACCACAAAACTAGTTAGAGAGAGGGAAAAACACTCAACCATCCAGCCCATTGCCATGCAAATGTAGGGTTGTGATCCACTAGGGTTGTGACCCCAGTATCCTGTTTTACCCAGTCTATTCTTAAGCCTTCTCGGTGATAGCTATTCCACCCCTTACATTTGGAGAATATTCCACGGGGTAACAGAGCTCAGGTTTTCTACATATTCATCCCACTTTTTCACTCTCATTACTCTTAGCTATATACACTCATACAACTACGGATTTCCCTGTTATTGTTTACACCTGCTAAATATCTGTAGGTTTGTCTTCAAATCTTTCTTTGAAAGTGAATCACTCCAGCCACCTGAAATTTTTTTGCTGCGCTTCTCTGAACTCCATCCAGCCTGTCAGTATCTTTCTAGTAACATTGTAACCAGAATGAACATAATATTCCAGGTGCCAAATAGAAAGGGACACTCCTACCCCACTGCTCCATGATTTGAGGTATCTATATACCAGCCCAAGACTCCATCAGCTTTTATTGTCATGTTGCATTGCAAACTCATGTCTCATTTGCTTTCTGCTGTCACCTTTAGCCAGCTCTATCCATCACTGGTTCCCCTCCCACTGCTTTGGATTTTTTCCCCCCAGATCTTTTAGGTTGCATTTTTTTGTTACTCATTTTGCTATTTTTCTGCACATCTCATCTTCATATTATTTCCCAGTAATCACTAGAGTCAGTAAAATGCTCTCCAATTAAATATCCTCTTCGAAATTCATTAGAATGCTGCTTAATTTCTCTTTCAGTTTATTAGTGAAGATGTTAAATGAAGCCTGGACATCAAATCAATTGTTGCAGTGGCTGGCCAGTAATATAAATGTATCTCAAAAAATGGGGGAGGAAAGATTGCACTCTCACCCCCTAGCCACAGAAACGTAACACCCACCTCTCTGCAAACAGCAGCAATCTGTGCCTCATCCATGCAAGTTTCTGTGACCACATCAGTGAGTGACCCTCCAGCAAGGTACTCCATCACAACAAACAATTCATCGCCTACAAGAAAACTAAAGGCAGAAAATACAGAAATAAGCTCATTTGCCAGGAGTGGAGAATCAGGACTGATAAATGACTGACAGTGTATCGCAGCAACTGTTCAAGAGAATACTTCACAACAGGCCTGACAAAATTCACCCTAGGGTATTTAAGGAAGTAGCTGAAGCAATCATGGACCCATTAGCAATCAAATGAAATCATGGAGGAAAGGTGAGGTCCCAGAGGACTGGAGAAGGGCAAACATAGCACCGGTCTTTAAAAAGGGGAACAATGAGGACCTGGGGAATTATAGACCAGTCAGACTAACTTCAATATCTGGAAAGATATTGAAACAAATTATTAAACTATCAGTTCGTAAGCACCTAGAGGATAATAGGATGTTAAGGAATAGCCAGCATGGATTTGTAAAGAACAAATCATGCCAAACCAACCTAATTTCCTCCTTTGACGGGGTACTGGCCTAGTGGATGGGGGAAAGCAGTAGACATGATTTATCTTATTTAGCTTTTTGGCAGTCCCACATGATATTCACATAAGCAAACTAGAGAAATGTGGTCTATGAAATTACTAAGGTGGGTGGTGACTGAAAAACTGTACTCAGTCATTATCAATGGTTCACTATCAAATTGGGAGGACTTATCTCATGGTGTCCTACAGGAGTCTGTCCTGGATCCAATACTATTCAATATTTTTATTAATGGCTTGGATAATGGAGTGGAGACTATGCTATAAAGTTTGCAGAGGACACCACTCTGTGAGAGGTTGCCAGCACTTTGGAGGACAGGATTAGAATTCAAAATGATCATGACAAACTGATCTGTAATCAACCAGATGAAATTCAATAAGGACAGGTGCAAAGTACCACAATTAGAAAGGAAAAGTCAAATGCATTCATACAAAATGGGAAATAACTGGCTAGGCAATAGTACTGCAGGAAAGGATTTTGGATCACAAATTGAACGTAAGCCAATGATGTGATGCAGCTGCGAAAAGGGGAAACTGTTAATATATTTAACAGTAAGATACAGGAGGTAATTGTCCCCCTCTACTTGGCACTGGTGAGGCCTAAGCTGGAGTCCTACGTCCAGTTTTGGGTGCCACTCTTCAGGAAACATTATGGAAAAGTGGAGAGAATCCAGATAAGAGCAACAAAAGGGGTGAGAGATTTAGAAAATCTGACTTATGAGGAAAGGTTAAAAAACGGGGCATGTTTAGTCTTGAGAAAACAAGACTGAGGGGAAAACCTGATAACAAGCTTCAAATATGTTAAGGGCCGCTATGAAGAGGACAGTGATCAACTGTTCTCCATGTCCAATGAAGGTAGGACAAGAAGCAATGGGCTTAACCTGGAGACAGGAAGATTTAGGTTAGATATCAGGAAAGCTTTTTAACTATAAGGATAGTTAAGTATTGGAATAGGTTACCAAGGGAGGTTGTGTAACTCCCATAATTGGAGATTTTTAAGAATAGTTTAGACAAACACCTGCTAGGTATCGTGTATTTGGTCCTGCCTCAGTTCAGGGAGATAGACTACATAACCTCTTGAGGTCCCTTCCAGCCCTACATTTTTATGAGTTTTAGATCAATTAGGAAAAAAACATTTTTAGGTAGACAGACTGGATTTAAAAGCTGGGGCCAAGCTTCTCTTACCAAAATGCCAAAAGATCTTCTGACTAAAAAGTCAGGATAACAGTTTTGCATCTCATCTAAAACAGCACCTCCAGCAGCACAGTGCTCCCCAACCCCAGTTTGGGATATTGGTTTGGTACCGAATCAGAAAAGAATGCTACTTACTGAATCACCAGCCCTATGCCCTGCAACACACCTGGCTTTTGCCTGGCAATCTCTTAACCCAAATACTCATTGTACCACCTGAGTATGTGCACAGGGGGGCCAGGTGGGTTTGTATTTAAGGCGCTAGCTCAACCTGTTGCCCATGGTACTCGCCACATGGCTATTTTTAGTGGTTTTTAGAGTGCTAGCTCAAGCAAAGCTAACATGTCTGTCTACCTGAGCTGGGAACATGCTTTGAGCTGCAGTGGAAACATACCCACAGTGATCATAGAAGATGTCAGGTTAGAATCCTGACTCCTGGGAGAAGGAAGCTTAACTGTTTGATTGTCTGCATTTACCTGTCTAGGAAGTTGACTATGTTGGGATTCTTTAACTCTTTCATTACCAGGATCTCATTAATAATCAACTCCTTCTTGGGCTGCTTCTGCAGGTTTATCTGTTTGATAGCAACCTGAAAACGAGGGGAAAGAGTAAAACACAAGATGAAGTGTTAGTCCTACAAACCTGAGTGCCAACCCGCTGCAACACTAAATAACATTTATAATATTACAGTAAAAGATAATTGAATGATTAGAACAGAGGAGTAGACAAGGCATGTGGGTTAGTAATAACAAGGGATGCTCTGTCAAACTGTCCAACAGCTTGCTGGCTGTAGGCTATGTACAAGGTGGGACTGGAGCTGTATTTTATAAAAAAGGCTAGCAAGTCAATAAAGTGGCAGCAAGACTGCTCCAGACAGTGAGCCAAATTCAGAAGTGACACAAATGGTGATCTAAATTGCACATCAGAAAGTCAGTGTTGGTTCAGGCAGGAGTAGCTTGCAGCATGAGGGGAAGCAAAGGATAGGGTTATGGCAGGAAAAGAACAGGAACTATGAAGTGATGTGACGGGCACAGGAGATCTGCTTTATCTTACACCTTCCTACATCGTCCTGTTAATTGCATTTCCTGCTGTTAATTCCTCTTCCATCGCCAGCTATCCCAAATTACTAATGTGCAACTTACACCACTCTTAACTTCATCCCGTCATAGTCGAGGAAATGCAGTGCCAGCAAAAGAGTCACTGCCAACACAGTGCAGATCAGAATAGAGAGAAGTGGAGGAAGGGTTTGGGGGACAGAAATGAAATCAGAGTCAAGAGAGAAGCTATTAACAGGTTTGAAGATGAGTGATTTTGTAGTGGATACAAGTGATAGCCAGTGCAAGGTTTTCAGGACAAGGATTGTTTCTGTATGTTTTGTTCTAAACAGAATAGCATTTGGATAAAAGTGCATTTGCAAGGCAAAAGGAGCTGCAAATATGAAGGTGTGACAAGACAATGCCCGAAAGAGTGAGTCAATAAAGCGAGTGATGAAAGAAAAGCAGACATGCTGTTAAACAGATGAGATGGGAACTTTTACAGCATAGCAAGACAATGAACAAAGAGGAGCTTGGTGGGGTGACAACTTCAAAATTACAGCCATAAAGTCTGAAAAGAAAATCAAGGTTGAGAAATTGAGAGGAACGAGTTTGACCATTAATAACTATGGTATTCTTCTTGCCAAGAAGAACCATGTCCATCTATGAGTTGGAAGTAGATGTCTTATAATTAAGACAACTGGAGAAGGAATGGTCTGTCATCACCTCCAGAGCTAAAATAGCTTTTAGAGATGGCAGGTGCATATTGTCTAAATGCTGCAGTGAGGTAAAAGGAGTAATGAGGAAGCCATGTGAAAGATGGTTTCACTGCTAGCGGGAGGAAAGAGATTGGAAGTGATCAAGTATTGGATCAATGAGGTCAGACACCGGAGATTTCGTGGGAACTACACAGAAGATCAGTAGTGTTATTGGAAGGGACAGGGAAAAGCCGACAATGTGATACTGCCACAGACAGATGCAATTCTGGAGTGGAAGAAATAGTAAGCTCTGTTGAGAGTAGAAGAGATGTCAAGTGTGTTAAGGACTGAATTGGCAGTGTTAGAATGACTCCGGAGATTACAGAATAGCAATAGTATCACTAAAGATCAGAAGGAAACAGGGGAAAGGGGCTATGTAATATTCACAATAAAACATGATAATACTGCATATTTTGGTGCACCAGAATTTTAGGTTTTTGGGGTGGGTGGAGGGATCTTAAGGATTTGAGCTATTATTGTACCATGGGTTCTGGAGAGATAGGCAATGGAAAGTGTTTTTATAGGGTAGATTGGTTGAAAGATGTACAGCGAGTTAGTTTTTTCTAACAGGAAGTAAAGAAAGGCTAGAAAAACGGAATCCAGGTATGGGATTTTGTTATAGATGGACAAGCACATAAAGTACTTAGTGTGTGACAGGTAAAGGAAAGTACAGGGGAAAATTACTCATTAATCCAGGGTGTGGTTACTCTTAAGCAGAAGAGGTAGAAAAGAGGAAGAAGCCAACAGCTATAAAGGCAAGAGGCAAAACTATAGGTGAGAACATTTCAGCTATTAGCAAAATGAACATTCAGGTGCCAGAGGAGGTGGTGGCAGGAGAGACTGAGCGAGCTGATGGGTAAAGCAATTGAAGAAAAGATGACTTTAGAAAGAAGCCGACAATTGTGAATTTTAGTTGTAGGGAACCAGTGGAGTAAAAGACGTTCGAAGGAAAACATCAAAGCAAATAGGATGGTGAAGGCTTAACGAACAATTTGTAAATGACAATGATGCCACTACGTCTGCCAGGTGATATGGGTGTAATCAATGGGAAGAATCTGGGAACAGGATATGGAAAAGGTAGTTTAATTAAAATAGAAGGAATTGTTTGGCGAGAAGCAATTTCCATATGGGCAAGACTATCATGGTCACAGATGAAGCTATGTAGAAGGCTAAATGCAAAATTATTGGTCAGAATTCAAGACAATATTGCCTACAACACTTAGAGATTAAACAGTTTTCAAAACCCATAACTCTGAACATCTTGGTCCCTTTGCATTTCATTGGAAAAACAAAACCCTATTTTTAGTATTCATCATCTGGTTACTACAAAACAAGGACTGCACTGTTACAAATGACTATGACAAATATTCTGCTGGGAAGTAATGCCAGAGATGGGAGCCACTAGTAAAAAAAACCTATCCAATTCACTTCCATCACCCATAGCTGCAGATTTAAACAGAAAATATTCACACAGATCTTACCTCCTGTCCTGTTGCCACGTCGATAGCTGTGAAAACTGTACCTGAAGCCCTGTGAATACAAGGTATGTGATCAGCTGTATGATTTCAAATCTAACAAGAATATACATGCAGACAGATCAAAGATTTTTTTTTTTAATAAGTTTTGCACACTAAAAACTGTCAAGAACGGCGCATTTGTGTGAAAAAGTACTTCTTTTTGTTTGTATAAAACCTGCTGCTTATTAATTTCATTGGATGACCCCCGGCTTTTGTATTGTGTGAAAGGGTAAACACACACTTCTCTAGTCACTTTTTCGACATCATTCATAGTGATGTTATAGGCCTTTATCATATTCCTCCTTAGTCATCTTTTCTCTAGGCTGAATAGCCCTAATCTTTTTAGTGTCTCCTTGAAAGGAAGCTGTTATATATCCTTGAACATCTCTGCTGCCCTCCTCTGAACCTCTTCCAGTTCCACCATATTTCTTTTTGGGCGACCAGAACTGGATATAGCATTCAAGGTGTCAATCACACTGTGGATTTATATAGTGGCATCGTGATATTTTCCATCGCTTTCCTAATAGTTCTTTTTGACGGACACTGCACATTTCGTGGAAATCTTCAGAGATCTATCCACGGTGATGCCAAGAGCTTGTTCTCGGGTGGTAATAGCTTAGACCCCATCATATATGTAAACACATGTATACACCTCTACCCCGATATAACACTGTCCTTGGGAGCCCCCAAAAATCTTACTGCGTTATAGGTGAAACCGCATTATATCTAACTTGCTTTGATCCACCGGAGCGCTGCTTTACCGAGTTATATCAAGTCGCGTTATATCAGGGTAGAGGTGTTTATGTATAGCTGGGATTGTTTTTTCCCCACATGCATTACTTTGCACTTATCAATGATGAATTTCATCTGCCATTTTGTTACCCAGTCACGCAGTTTTGAGAGATTCCCTCTAATTCTCCTCACAGTCTGCTTTGGACTTAACTATTTTGAATAATTTTGTATCATCTGCAAACTTTGCCACTTCACTGTTCATCTCCTTTTCCAGATCATTAATGAATACGCTGAACCCAGCACAGGTCCCAGGACAGATCGTTGGGGAACCCTCCTGTTCACCTCTCTCCATTGTGAAAACCGAACTTATTCCCACCTCTTTGTTTCCTATCTTTCAACCAGTTACTGATCCACGAGAGGGCCTTCCCTCTCATCAGCTACTTAGTTTCCTTAAGAGTCTTTGATGAGAGACCTTGTCAAAGGCTTTCTGAAAATCCAAGTACACTGTATCGACTGGATCACCCTTGTCCACATACTTGTTGACTCTCTCAAAGAATTCTAATAGATCGGCAAGACCTGATTTCCCTTTAGAAAGCTAGTGAAATCAATAGGCAGCAAGCAGCTTTCATAGAAACAAGAGGAAATACTTTTTCACACAACGCACATCTAACCTGTAGAACTCACTGCCATGGCCAAAAGTGTAACTGGGTAAAAAAAATGAACTGGATAAGTGCATGGAGGATAGGTCTATTAATGCCTATTAGCTAAGATGGTCAGGAGTGGAACCCCATGCTCGGGGTGACTCTAAACCTCTGATCACCAGAAGCTGGGAGTGGAAGACGGGTGGATCACTCCATAAATTACCCTGTTCTGTACTCTCCCCCTGAAGTTCTGGAACGGGTCACTGCTGGTAACAAAATACTGGGCAAGATAGACCATGGTCCGACCCAGTATAGCAGCTGTTATGTTAAGAAAGAAGGGCATTCAAGGAGTAGTCAAATAAGGAGTACTAAATACAAATACCAGCCAGCTCAGAAAGAGCACACTAGTCATCATAGGACCAGCCTCTTTCATAGTAAGAGGAAAACTACTTTTCTTGCATGTCAGTGTATGCAAATCCCTATACCTTGTGCTATTCCCAAATATCGGATAAATCAGACAATCGATTCTAAAGGGGATTCTATTCCACCCCTCATTCCTCTACACACACACACAAAATATCAAAATATTGTTAGAGGGGATGCAAACACAGTAAGAACAATGTTTATATTAAAAAAATTATGCAAGCTCTGCCAGTATTCATCCTTCAACTGAACTTTTACATTGAAATGATTCATGGAAATATCTAGAGCAAATTACACTAGATTGATAGCACCTTGACCGGGGTAGAAAAAGCTTGCATTCTATCACCCTTAGCTTTTCACTAGTCATAACATTAAAAGAACAGATACATTTATCTCATGAAGGGGAAGAGCAGAAAAAAGACAAAAGTTCACTTAAATGAATACATTTTCACTCCCATCCAATCTCACCAGAAAGTGGTTGTTTCCAAAGAGACATTAATGCACAAGCACAGTCCCATAAAGGAACAGATTCAAAACTTCCACCACTGTCTGAAGTCTCCTGCATCTGATTATTACTGCTTATACACTGACATGTCTGCTTTAATAACCAGTGGCTAAATGACAAAAGTACATCACACCTTTAATCATGGTTCATTCACTGAAAAATTTTGGACAGCTCTACAAATACTCACCCCTGCCCAATTTTTTCATATCTGGTGTATTTTTTCTTGGGATCTCCTATGCTCACAATAGTCCCTAAAAAAGAAGAAGAAAAAAAATCCACACAAAACATAAAACCAACCAGTGATTTAAGAGAGCATTCTTCACTTTTTATTAGAGAACAATGTGTACTTTTTTCTTTTGATTCTTATGGTCATAAAAATAACTTTTTTATACTGAACTGCACTTCAATTAAATGATATTCTTCTGTATGATGTTTGTGACTTGTAACACCTTTGTGGGATGAATCAGTAATAAATCCAGTAATTGTACTGCCTATTTTAAACTAACTCATTGCCTCCTTTGTGCTAGACAATGGCATTGGTTTGGTGAATGAGTGCATCTATGAAGGTTAGGGAATTAGTAACAGCAAAAATCCACTGTATCCTGCACTAAAAGGAACAGCTCCGTAGAAGCTGATCACCATGTCACAAGTGCAACATTGAAGCTGTTTTAGGGCCAAACAGGGAAATTTTGTTTACTTGTTAATTTCCATTCTTCAAAACCAGTCCAGATGCCTGAATACAGTTCCTCCCACCTAGCAGATGACAGAAAATAACCAAGTCTTTGGATTACATCACCCTTATATGAAAAATGGGGATGATGGCTTAGTCAAAAGACTTAATCATTTGTCTCCATTTTCTGGTTAACAGAAACTACAACCAAGCATCTGTACAGATTGTTTTATAATGGCCTCAGTTCATACATCATGCTGATTTGATACCTGCAGTCTTTTCTGTAAAGACTCCAATAGGTATTATCAGTTCAAAGCAATGTGCCGATGAGGTCTGCACAGAGCCCTCCCATATAAATAAGAGAATTACTGATAACTAGCATCAATACTGGAATTTGTATTTTAAAAAAAATACAACTCACGTAGCTTTTCCATGATGTCTTCATCTGACATTTTGGTCTTCTTTTTCTGCTTGTCAGCTGACTTGGCAGCACTATCACAAGTGTCACCAGCTGGTGCAGGGATAGGGTCAATTACAGACCGTGTGTAAATCTGTGGGGAAAGAAAGAACATTCACTATTAGAGCTCAGAGTTCTCTTTGCAACCACTGACTTTCAGGTTCAAAACTGCCATAAATTCTTATCTGACCACTACCATTGTTTCACTTAAAACTTTTGAAACCAGGAGCTACTTGTTCTGAGAATTGCTGCTTTTGAATACTAGCCAACGTGACTGCAACACTACTTGATTCTGAAAGACTGACCTGTAGACTTGCTGGACAGCGCAGATGGCTAGGGGTCTATTTACTCTGGAAAGAGATCCCTGATGCCTCAGGCTTCTATAGTTTCTACAGCTGGGACTCATTGCAAAAACTGTTCTACAGTGTATTTTGGTACATCATTGCTTTGCTCTGCCAGACTAGGTGGAAATCTCTTCAAACACTTCAGAAGCGTGAACTACATAGTGTGGTACTCACCTCCATATACTGCTAATTTGAAAGCTTAGTTGGAAATACAGACATTACGAAGCACATTAGTCTAACCTCCACTTTTTTTGCGGGGTGGAGGGAAGGCTTTCTACTCATTTGTTCTCTAATAGGATGTCCTTATTACACTATATGCTGGAATAGAGGCTAGGGTTTGACTGCCACTTCATCCTTTGTACATTTTCTGTTATTTCTTCAGTCTCTCCTCACATTACATGATGCCCACCCATCATCAAAGAGGATGGAAACTGCTCTTTATTTAACTATGGGACAAATCTGAAAGGAGATTTTGTGAAGTAGTAAGCTATAGGAAAATGAAGATGCAGTAGATACCTTTGCACAACCCAATCTTTTGGTTTTGGGGAGCAGAAGATAGTTCAGATTTGTACATGGGTCTCCCCTAAACTACCTAACTGTTCATCATTTGAAAAACTGCATAAATTGACAGTTATACTTGCTAATGTGGCAATATTTACAGATCTTTAGACATGTAATGTTCCACCTATATCCTTATTTAAATGTCATGTGGCCTATTCCTTAAAGCAATATTCTGTGAACTTTGTATACATTCCATACCTACCCTTCAGACAAAACAAGGCAACAGTGGAAGAGAAGATGATATTTGGCCTTTATAGGAGCACAGGGAGGGTCTCTGGAGGGAGGTTGGGGTGGGGGAGTTAAAGATGGTGCTAAAGCTTAACTAAGAACTTAAGTGTTAAGTTCTCACATGTAAAATTTAGTACTAATAATATTCTTGTTGGTGGAATAAATTCCCGGACAACTACAATGCAGAGGGTTTTTTGTGATGGGATAATGTTTAATAGAAAAAAAAAATCAAGCACACAGTACACCTCTACCCCGCTATAACACGACCTGATATAACACGGGTTAGCGTATAGCGCGGTAGCAGTGGGGCTCGGCGGCGCTTTAAAGGGCCCGGGGCTCTGGCTGCTGCGGGGAGCCCAGGGCCTTTAAATCACCGCTGGAGCCCTGCCACCCCTACTCCGGGGCTGCGGCAGCAGGGCTCCGCCGGCGATTTAAAAGGACCCAGGCTCCCCGCAGCGGCAGGAGCCCAGAGCTCTTTAAATCACCGCCAGAGCCCTGCCGCCCCTACCCCAATATAACGGGGTTTCAGCTATAACACAGTAGGGATTTTTGGCTCCCCACGGCTGCGTTATATCGGGGTAGAGGTGTATGTGAGTTTAAGTTTTTTTAAAACGTACATTACCCACAATATCTGGGATTTTCTAGGTGCATTGGTAAAGTTTTGTAATGATCCTCCTTATAAGGTGTTTTAGAGGATGAGGAAATGAATTTGGGATTTTTTCAATGCAGCCCTCCAAAATATAGCACTAACTTGGATACTCGTGGTCCAACTGGTACCTGGGAGTTAGCTATAGCTAGGAAAAAACATGACTACTAAAATAAAATTAATATAAATAAAGTGACATTTTGCAAAGAATAATCTTCCCCAATCTGGTGTGGGCAGGGACCATGGGAAGAGGCCTGCAATAGACAGACCAGAAAGTAATGTAAAAAAAAGCAAAAATACCAGAGTAAATTAAAAAAAAAAACTCACTGATTTTGTATGATCTGGTCGAGGGGCAATAACCGGAGGAGGAACCTCTTCATCATCGTCATCTTCTGCTACTGCTGTTGAGGGCTCTGAACCTTTGGCATTGGGCTATATTTTTGTTATTGAATGGAATAAAGGGGAAATAAAGTATTTATAAACTAGAAGCAAAGCTGTTGTTTTTCCCCAAAATTGTAAACAGCTTATGAGTTTTAAGACATTTTTAGAATGGGGATCCAGGAATTCTTAGTAATTTAGAACTAAATTAAGTATGCTGAGAGACATAAGAGTCTCTCTACATTTATTACAATATTCAGTTTATTACATTTCATTGGAATATTTTAACAATACTTTTATTAAAAAAGAAATATCTGAATATTTAAATTACCTCTTCTACTACTCTAAGTTGTCAGAAGCATATGTTAAGTATTTCTCACCATTCTTTAAATAAGAAATAGACATCCATGGAAAGCATTTAACAGACACACAATTCGTAAACATCCTTAAAACTAAACCACCTACTGGGCATTTTGTTTCCTGTGGGAAAGGTTGGTTAAAAAATATAATTCAATAAAATGTTACTAAATTTATTATGAAGTATATAATATGAGTTTTAATTAAATTAAAAAAACACTAATTGAGTAGGCCTGGAACAGTGCAAGCAATAATAAATACACTTACTGCTGGTGTTCCTGAAGCGAAACCATCTTTTTCTAAACAGCAAGAAGAGTAATAAGTGAATATAAATAATTAGTGGAATAATAAATAATAAAAGTGGACTTTCTAGAAAACATGAGCAACACATCAGGAATTCTGGACAGTTCATGAGATTTCCCTGCTTCCAACCAGGTGAATTTTCATGGTTGATGAATGAAACATCTATTTCCCTGACTAGATGCAGACAGGTGTTACAAAAACTTCTTCCCCCCCACAGGTCAGGCAATATATATTTCAAATCCTGACTTGCTACATGACTGGATCTCACCTGAGTGGAGACTGTTTTGTCAAATTGTGCACTGGTTTTGATGTGCATATGAAAGAGAAGATTATGACCAAACTGATAAGGCAAAGATGTGAAAAACCCCTATCACCAGGCTATTTTTACAATGGAAATCTTTTTGATTTAAACAGCTAAAAGGAACCACATACACTGGAAAAATACAATCAAACGTTTTTCCCAGCCACCCACACACACCTATCACTTCTAATGCAAGTTGTAGACAAGTTACACTGAACCTTTGGTCCTATCATAGAATATCAGGGTTGGAAGGGACCTCAGGAGGTCATCTAGTCCAGCCTCCTGCTCAAAGCAGGACCAATCCCCAGACAGATTTTTGCCCCAGATCCCTAAATGCACCCCCCCAAGGACTGAACTCACAACCCTGGGTTTAGTTGGCCTATGCTCAAACCACTGAGCTATCCCAAAACTATCATTTGGGAAAGTTGAGCCAATGCAAGTTACTGCACAGTAGTTGTCCAAAAGCACGTTCTGACTAGAGATAATGGGAGTGAACTTAACCAGGTAATCATAGTCTTATAGTTCTAGCTTCATAAAGACAGGTCATTAATTAATTGATTTTAGCTGACTGGTACTGCCATTTTGAATTATCCTGTTCCATTTGTTCTCTTACCCACCTGAAACAGGAAATTGACTGGACAAAGAGTGCAACTTTAGTGGAACCTTTATTTATGAGTGTCCCTTACTCATTAGATACTAGTTTGAGTCTTTGGCATGGGCCTACCTTCCCAATTCTAAGTAATGACGTACAGGGAAGAGCAGACTGGATTGTAAGAACCAAACTCTTCCTCTGAATGTCTCGTATGTACTTGTCTCTCACCTGGAGCGGAGAAGCTCAGGTACTTCTGTTTTGCAGTGTCTTTGGAGTCATAGAATTTCAGCACATCTAGTACAGCCTGAGGGTTTTTCTTCTGCTCTAGCTTGGTGATATTTGAGGTCTGTAGCAATCGAGCCCATTGCTCTGGCATTCCCTGAAACAGAAAACAACCTTAATACTTAATATTTTTAAGTCATTTAAAAAAAAAATCAGAATGGATTTTCTTTCCACATGTAAGCATTAATCTGTGACTCTAAGTGACTCAGATGTGGTGGGGGTTTCAGTCACTGAGTTGAACACCTGTAGATGACAATATAAACCAAGCCTTCAGCTAAGCTAGCACAAACATTCAATAGCTCTATCAGGTCTTCTGGCCTACTGGGGCACTGTAGGAAGAAGTTGTGTACCTTGCAGCCCCTGTCCCTACATACACCCTCTCCTGATCAGGTACATTAAATTCCCCATTCATCACTCAGTCTGATTTTCTATGTACATATCTATTGTAAATGGAAGTGAACTAACCAAAGGGGCTACTTCATTTTTCTACAGGCTAATAGGAATTCTCACTAAAGGGTTCTCCCATGTGGTATAAAGTAAAGCATCAGGATTCCAGTGACTATCATTAAACATTTAATTTATATTGCAGTAACACCTATGAGGCCAACCAAGGTCTCGGTGTGGTAGGCATTGTAAATGACTTGTGATGGAGAGGAACAGACTAACTTACACCTTATTCTTAAGTGACAAATTCTCCTCACTTCAGCAAGGAACCTTATGGCTTTCTGAACAGTTCTAGGACAGGTATACTTACAGTGAATTCTCCAGTAACCGCATCAAAGCCAACATGGATGGTGTGTTCAAAGTCTGATGGAGGAGAAATTTCTGGCCTTTCCTTTTCCTTTTTCTTGCTTCCTAAAAGATGACATTGAAAACCATCCACTTAAATTCAGAGAAGGTTCAGTCACAAGATAGAAGATCCCCATTGTCCCTGTTTAATACAATGATAATCTTTGAGCAGTAATATATCCTTTATATTTATTCTGAAATTTGGACATGAACATTTCATAAATGCATGGAGCAGACTGTCCTGCAACATTTTAATTTTAGTTTAAGTTTCAATGTAAGAATTGCTAATTCATTGCATTGAAAGTTGTTATTTATATTGTAGTAGCACTCAAAACCTGAATCAGAATCAGGACCCCACTGTGTCAGGTGCTGTACAAAAACATAAGTCTCTCCAGCCTCAAAGAGTATCTAATTTAAGACAAGATGCAAAAGTGGGTTTAACAAGCCACAGGAAAGGGTGATGAATCAGAAAGATTAATAGGTATAAGATCATGCAGTTCGATGAACTATGTGTATAGCCGTAATCAGATTCAATTACATTTTTAATTAGCTATGTTCTTAAACAAACTATTAGGTTATTTCCATTGCTGTCTAATTTCAGGCTTTTAACAAAAATCTTTGCCTCTACCCTTTTTGTTTATATTTTTAAATTAAAATACTAAATACAAATCAGTTCCCTTGTTACCCCCCCCCCTTTTTTTAAGCTGCCCATACTCTGCTCAAGGTCCATTTTTATACCATCTCCTCCACAAACTATCAGGTCTCCTTTAAACAAAAATGTACCCACAATTAAGATGGTGACACCACAGGTAAGCCAGAAGCACTGACAGGTATACTGACTGCTGCTTCCACTACCCCCCACTTCCTCCCAGGAAGAGTTCATGTCCTTTAGTGGTCACTCCCTAGTGTAGGGAGAAATGGGGGTGGGTTAGGCTTTCAAGATCTCTTTGCAGAGAGGGGACTGGGTAGCAGGGCATGGGGGAGCCTGACCTACCATCAGATATGTTCAATGTGTGATTTTGGAAACGACTGCAGATTCTGACACTAGGTCCACTTACTGATAAACAGCTGAATTTATTCTAGTGTGCATAAATCTAGTAATAATGCCACATTGTGCTTATTATAATAAATGAAGTACAGTGCATGCACAGCACCCATTTTTAAATACCTATTTCTGTCTGACTTAATTATTGCTTTACAAGTTTCCAAACAAAATAAGCTTCTCAGTGAAGGGGACGCTATACATTTTAAAGAAATTTTAAAATAAATATAATTTGAGCTGCAATGTTTGTTTACTTTGTTTTAAAATCACCTCAAGACTAAGGATTATCATCAAATTTCAGTCCAGGAAATAAATAAATAAATAAAAAGTTAAGTTATAAGCAACTCAAGTAGCACCACCTCAATTTTAACCATGATGTGTCTACGGAGATGCAGAAATATGGGGAACAGCACATGCTACAGTTGAGCAAAGTGGTCCAGACAACAGTTAATAAAAATAAGACTTTATCCACTGGGGTTTCACAGTTGGGTATTCATTCAAACATGGAGCCATCTGAGGATTTGTTTGTAATTACCAGCTTTTACTGTATTTCTAACCGTACAGACCCTCACACTAACAGGAAAGGAAAGGAAAGGGAATTAAAGACTATACTTAGAACTGAAAAGCCATGTGGCTTGCCTAGAGCTACACAATACCTTGGAAAGACATTGCTGTTATAAACAGGATATCTTTAATATGGCTGCACAGGTCTGGAAGCCAAACTGTAAATGGATTGTCAAATGCTCTTATAAAGAAAATTACTTCAACTAAAGGTTTAGGAAAACCTGATTTTCTCTTTATATGAAAGCATTAGAGCATCACTCCTTGCCCAACCTTTTGCTGCTAATTGTGTGGAAACAGAAAATGACTTATGTTCCTTAGAAACACTCTTGGTCTGAAGCATTTGATGGCTTCTAGAGGACATAACTTCGTGTTTAAATCCCCAGGCATGTGCTACACAAATAAACCCTTCTTTCAATCAAATACACATCTTATTAGTACACTGGGCAAACATTAAGAACCATTGCTCCACCCACAGAAATAACAGACCACAGAAACACATTAAACAAATGCAGGCAGCAGAACTGAGCCAAGAGGCTGGATCAATGAGTCACACTTTGGCAGCAGGTACTTGAGGCTCCATTAACAAGGACACTGTGAGGCTACACTATTTCTGAACCTCTGATTATATTTGCATTACAGTTCTGTATTTAAAAGGGACTCTCTTTAGTACAGTGTGATTCCTGTGTTTCAAACCACAAATCAGTTTAAGATATGGTCCCTTATTCTCAGCGCTAACAGTAGCTTAGAGTGTTGCAGAATTAGTAGTGTTCTGAGCCTCTGGAGAGGAGGGAGCACAGCACACCTCAGGCCATTTTCCAATTACCCTCATGGTTGAAAGGCTTGAGAGCAAGACATGTACACAGCACTGCTCAGATGGAGGTTAAAATATGGGATCTTTCAAGGTGGTGCTAATGGGGAGTAAAACAAGCAGAAATGTAAAATCCTGGAGAAAACCACAACCCCGGATTATAAAATATATAAAAAAAACCCATACTAAAAATGCCCCAAATTACACTGAAGGAATCTTAGTTCAGTCACTAATAAATATTCCCCACAAGAAAGCCAGCAAATACGCACAATATACATTAGCATGACCAAATGTCTGGAGCCAAAGTGTAGAATGCTTATTTTCCTATTGCAAGATTTTAACACTATATACAGAGCTAAGTGATATGGCAAAGAACTTCTGCAGTTTCTGGCTCGCATGAAAACATGACACGATATGTGCTTGTTCTGACTTATTCCAAGGACGATCACTTAAAAAAGCAACAAGTAGAACACCAAAGCTGAGTGAACACATCAAATATACTTATTTTGACAGGACTGCACCACACTAGAGGCGCTATAATTATAGCGGAGTGTTGGAATTAAGGTTGAGAGTTAATTACTTTTTAAAAGAATTAATTCTACATGCTCTACATCCTCACACTGAGGACTGTCTTGAAATTTGCAGTCCCTCGTGGAGGTGAGGGGTAGGGTTAGCGTTCCAAATCTGGGATCTCAAGTTACACACCTCTTGAAAAACCCGGCATTTTATAAAAATCACTTTGTTCTTCTAATTTGTTTTGTACACACCTTAAACGAAGGCTCTGATCGCCCACAAACTGATCTCAATCACTCAGGATTTACCTCAGCTAAGGCAGGACACTCACTATTCCTCTGAGTGGGAGAGAATTTTACTGAAGATGTTATTAAGAGTAACATTTGTAATTCGAGGTCAGGGCATGCCATGCTGACGTGTCTAAAAGGCAGAAATGTGCATATGCAGCAAATTGTTTTCCAGGCAATCTGTCATCACAGTAACTGGGTGGCTCAAGATGACATGTGGTCATTGAACCCGAGCTACAACCAGGTGGCATGAGTTCAAGCTCTACCCTTGGCAGTTTTTAAGTGTCTTATGCATGTTCCTTGTTCTTTGCCTGCATTCTGCAGGGGCTTCTTTTGGAAGTTATGTTTGGAGATTAAAATATAACTCTTAAACCAGAAAATTTGAAGTGCTCTAAAATACATGTACAGACTGATTTTACTTTCAAACAGATGGAAGATGAAACGCTCTAGTAAAAGCCATTAGAATAATGTAATCATGTTTCCTAAACAAGGGAACAGAGGGTGATCAAAGGAAAGCAAGTTGCTGTGTATTGTGTCATGGGGTTCCTGATCCACAGCTCCCCTAACACGAGTTGCTCAAAACACATTAAAAAAAAATATATATAAAAATTTCCTGTCGGTACAGAGTTGGCGGATGGATAGATGCACCAAATCCATACCCACAGGGGGAAAAAAAACAAAACAAAACAGTAAGACAGGTCACCGCCTCCCCCTACAGCATGCCAGCAGCCCCTGACGATCAGCTCCTTCCCCTCCCTCCCAGCTGTTCCACCCATGCAGGAGGCACTGGGGGAGGGGGAGAGGAGCAGGGGCAGGAAGAGCTGGGTAAGGAGCTTGGAGGAAGGGGTGGAGTGGGGGAGGACCTGGGGTGGAGCATCCCTTGGCAACTAGGTAGAATAACTCCTCACTTAAAGTCGCATTTTTCGGGAACATGACTACAATGTTAAGCTAAACGATTTTTAGCTAATCCAATTTCCCCATAAGAATTAATGTAAATGAGGGGATTAGGTTCCAGGGAAATTTTTTTCACCAGACAAAAGACTATATATATTTTATATAAAAATAAAAAGGGTTACCATATTTCAATACTGCAAAAAGAGGACACTCCACAGGGCCCTGGCCCCGCCCCAACTCTGCCCCTTCCCCAAAGTCCCCACCGCAACTCCACCCCCTCCCCTGAGCACCCTGCATTCCCCCTCCTCCCTCCCACCCCCCGGCTGCTGCTGCGCTGGGGAAGTTGCTTTGGTCCCCGCTGTGGTGGAGAGCAGCGGGAGCCGGGAAAGTTGGAGCCCGGGGAGGAGGCGGTCCCCTTACCATGCCTCCCTATTTTCCCGTACATATCCGGCTTTTTGGAAATTCCTCCTGGACGGGGATTTGAGGACCAAAAAGCCAGACATGTCCGGGAAAATCCGGACATATGGTAACCCTACCCCAGAGCCGCCCCTCGC